ATTTCTGAAACACACACACACATAATCCAATACACACAACTGCATCCCCCCTCCCCTTTCCCCCCTTCCCCCCACACGCACCTCGCCCCTGGGGCTTATCGCCCTCCTGCAGCTGCACCACCATGATGGTGGGTATGCCGGAGGCGGGTCCGTGAGCCGTCTTGATAGACACGTCCAACACGTTGGGGTTACCCCGCACGTTAGGCCGGATGATACACGACCCCACCACCACATCCTCCTTGCCCAGAGCTGCGTTGGCGTCCACCTATACAGGCAGGATTGGGGGTTGGGGGTGGGGGTGGGGGAGGGAGGGGGGTGGGGGTGGGTATTGATATGTACGGGAGTACGGAGATGGGGGAGTGTAGGGATTTATAAAGATAACCACTTGAGGCTAGGGCAAGACAGGAGGGGAAGCAATCCCCAAATTTAAACATCTACATACATACATACATACATACATACATACATACATACATACATACATACATACATACATACATACATACATACATACATACATACATACATACATACATACATACATACATACATACATACGTGTACATATATACGTACAATTGCGCAAAGAAAGGTTGAATACCCCCCCCTCCAAACACACACCTCACCTGAGACACGTTCTTGAACATGGGGTGTCGTATAGGCCGTACAAGCACTTGTTGCTCCCGGGGCCGATGTTCGTCAGCTCGCCGCTTGGTGGTGGCCTCGCCCTTCTCCCGGGGACTGGGGAGCAAAAGGTTGTTGACATACGAGTGTGTGTATGTGTTTTCCTTGTCGTACATGTGCATACCAGAAAAAGGGAGAGGACAGGACACATACTTACAGACACACAGACAGACGGCCCAGCCCCCACCACGAGACAAGGTTGAACTTCCACGTACGTGTCCACGGGTGTTTTTCCTAAATCCCCCCTTCCTAAATTCTTCCCCTCCACATCCCCTCGCTCCCTCCGGGTGCTTACACGTAGTACGGCTCCTTTTCTTTGCAATATCGTTGTTCATAGTACCCGTCCTCGTCGTTTACCACGGATGATCTGTCGCAGCACCGACGCGGCACCGGGTGGGGAGGGCGAGGGAGAAAGGGGAATCAAAACCCTAAGAAACAGAGGGAAAACAAGGAGAGCAGGTTTGGAAAGGGAGGAAAGGAGGGGGATGACACGCAAAATGACGACGTGGGGGGGAGGCGAGGAGGGCGGGGTAGGGCTGGAGGAACTGGAGGTGCGATACGACTCAGCAGCTGCAGGTGTGGCATGCAGCTTAGGAGGGTGGGGGAGAGAGGCAGAGATACACACATACACACACACAACACACACACGCACTCTCTCTCTCTCTCACTCACACTCCGTGTCGGCTGCCAAGGCTCCAGAACCAAGCCCACCCAAGCCCCGTACCAAACGACACATACACATATTCATACTCCATTC